CAGATAATCTGTGAAAAAAATCAAGCTCCTCTTGCTCCTTCCAGTGGTCCTATTGCCATTTGCAGAAAAGGGAGCTGTGGAGGGAGGCTCAGGCTAATATTAAGTCAACGTTTTCTTAAAACTCCCTACTGCAGCTTTAAAGACCATCTAAAATGGGGTCAAAATTTCACAATGAGACATGAAATGTGTTAACATTCCAATTCATCTACACATCTGATGTCAAAAACGGAGCCAGTCTTGTTATTGCTTTATTATGGGGAATCTCAGCTCACGGGCCTCTGCAATGCCTGAATGAACAAATCTGATTAAGGCTTTGATTCAACTCATTCAGCCGCTAAGAACAAAATAAAATTGGATGTTATTTCATTGTAACATTCCATCAGACACATCACATTTCACATGAAATTGAAACTAAGATGTGTGAATCTTGGACCATTTGAAAGCTTTACACAACAAGAATCAGAATGCTACGCCTGATCAGAACAGAACTGCAGTGCTGCACTTCCACCTACAGGACAAAGGCATCACTGCAGGAGACCCTGACCTCCAGGATCCACTATTATTCAATGCTGTGTAATGTTTTATCGTTCCTCTATCATATCTGAAACTTGCATTCGGGCCTCTAAATTATCATCGTGATCAAAAGTGCTATAGGATACTAAATTTTCTTCATGTCTTCTCTTTGATTGATAAAGTAAAATGTGGTTTTTTTTAATGTTTTTTAGCTTTGCATATGTAGCCAATATGATAAAACATACTTTTAGCAGACCTGTTTGCACAAAATAATGGTCAAAATCTACATTGGCCACAAAAAAACATGACAAAAAATAGTCCCTGCCCCTAAACTTGTACCATTGGCTAATGTTGCTGTAGCCTAAGCTGGTGGGAAAACTCAAACAAACATAGTTTTACATTTCATGGAAATTAATTGTTGTCTTTGCATATTAAGCTGGGATAGGAAATGATTTAAAACGTTTTAATAATAATAATAATAATAATAATAAACACTTCACCTTTAAGGGCACAATGCAAATTTGTACTGTATTCTACATGCACAGCAGCACTAAGGAAAATCTATCTATTCACTCATCTCCCTCTCCTTTCTCAAATCATCACTGTAATCTCCTTTAATTAAAGCAATAAAACCCTCAAATAAATGAACTAATGACAGTGCTGACTGCTCATTATCTTTATATATAATAGAATGAATTCAACTTTAACCCTGTGGAAAACCTAACATGAATGTTTACTTTTGCCAGTAATTAACATGATCAGCTAATTGCCTCTAAGTCATTCAATTTCGTAGAACAGACTCCTGTACAAGTTATATACAAGACAGAGATCACTTACTCTTAATTTACACTTCTGTCTGAGATCCACTGCATTTATATTCAGTTTTCTTTTGTTCTACACCTCTTCACCTCCAAACGCTCCAGCTTGATTTGCCTTTTAGTAGATCTGTATTTTTCGGTTCCATTTTTCCCTGAAACAGTGAACCTTTTTATTTATATTGCAATGTCCCTGCTACTATCGATGAATGTTTGTCTGAGTGACACATGTTGGTTAATAAATCCATTCAATAGGGCTGGGGAGAGATAAGGTAGTTCTATTCTATCAGGCATCTAAGTCCTAAAAATCAAAAGCACTATACACTATTACATATGCACCATTACACTAACTGTGACATTGGAAGTGGACAGTTCTTGCTGCTAAAACTATCAGGGTCTAGGGTGGTGCAACTGGCCCTGTGCTTTAATAATATAATACAATACATGTATATGCATTGCCAACCCGGTCTCATCCCAAGATGTCATATAACTGACGTTTTGGGACGTCTTTTGACCATACGTCAATATTCGCCTTTTTAGGGCCCCCTTAAACGTCGGTAGATGAGGTTATGATCCTAACTCTACCCCAGACCTAAACCTAACCCGTCACCTAACTGACGTTAAAGGTAAAGCGTCAGTTGTATGACGGCCCGGGATCGCCATCTACCGACGTTTAAGGGGGCCCTAAAAAGGCGGATATTGACGTATGGTCAAAAGACGTCAGTTATATGACTTTTTGGGATGAGACTGTGTTAGCATTGCAGTTCAACATTTTGCAGTCAGTAAGATTAGATAAAAAAGATAAAAAAGAGAATAGTTTTATTCATCAAAAAGTGAAAAAAAAGACAATTGTGATAATTTCTGTGAAATTTCTATAAATCAAAGATTCAAGAAAGAAAAAAAAATAACCATTTCTGAAGAATCATGCGACACTGAAAACTGGAGTAATGTTGCTGAAAATTCAGCTTTGCATCAGGAAAGAATTACATCTTAATATATATATACGGTTATATATAATATATACTGTTTTACTGTATTTTTGATCTGACAAATGCAGCCTTGGTGAGCCTTAATAAAAGTGCAGTATCTATTTTTATCCTTTAGAAGTCACAAACCTTTTGAATGATATATAATAATATAATATTCCTCTTTCGAAAAACTAAAGTAGTACTATTTTAGTTTAGAGAACTAAAATAGATAAATACCCATGTCATTACAAAATATAAACATGCAGATCTGATGTTGACCACTAGGAGCAGCCAAGAGTTATTCTGTCTCTGAGAAATGTCACATGAAAAAGTCATAGGGTCTATGGGTAAAGTCTGCTTGTGGTTGCTTTCCTATGGGTCAAGGTTTGGCTTGTTTATATATATATATATATATATATATATATATATATATAGCTAGCAGATATGCTGCTTAATTTTTATTTATTTTTTTTGCAGAAAATTGACACCAGGATTCCTTTATCATTGTTCAGTTTGTTTAATTTTATAATGCAAACTCGTTGCCTTAATAGCATAACTTAATTGCATAAACTTAATTCTGTCTGTGATCTGAGGAAGTGTACTCCCAGAGTGCATTGGGGCATGAATAAATTAATTGCTTTGTTTTTTTTTTATATTTTTGGCTTTATTTTACCATTACAATTTTATTTGCTATCATTATTGGGGTTATACTGTACGTACAAGAGACCGCAAAAAAAATAAAATAAAAAGATAAAAAAAAATATAACGGTCAAGTAATTGAATCATTAAAACCAATGGTACTCAAACCAGTCAAGTAATGTTTAGAAGGGTTTTCTGAGTAACGCAGGCATAGCATGCAAACAGTACAGATTACTAAGAAATTTTAAGTAAGTTCAACAAATTATTGGACACTAAGTAGGCAAAAGTTAACAAAAAAAAATCTTAGTAAGAACAATGATAGATTTTACACTTGAAATATACATCTTTTGTAACATCGCAAATGTCTTTAGTGTCTTTTGATCAAAATAATGCATCCTTGATGAATAAAACCAAAGGAATTAACAAATAATAATAATAATTAACAGTATGCAGTTTATCCTACACAGTATGTGTCCCCTCCCCATCCATCCGGTTCATTTAACATTCAGAATTTTTAATTAGGACTTGTTTCATGCAAATGCTATCAGTCACCTACCAATCCTCTGTCAGGACGCCGACCAGCATCATAATGGACATCACTTGCACGTTCAGGCTCAAGGGAGCGTATTTCCATCAACACATTCAGTTCCCACTGCTCACAAGCTGCTTGAGACCGCATGGGCTGAACGCTAGTTGTCAACATGAACCCAGTGCAGCTCATTGAATTAATATTCAAAATTAGTCAGCCTAAGCGAAAATCTCATCATCGTGTCACGGGCATGATTATAAATTGCTCTCTGATTGACAGTTTGAGCTTTTAATTATGCAAATCAAATGTTACACACGGTTTTCAGTGAATTCAGCAGATGTTAAGCTATAGCATTTATTCACTCTGCGTACACGATGGGGCATTTGCTTAACCACGTCCTTCAAAAACACAGAACCAGGATTGATTAGGCTATTACATGGTCAGTATTCGTATGCCGCTATGGACAGTGTAGGGTGTAAAGCACTATAATTCATTACTGTAATTTAATTACTTTTCACTTGGAAAAGTAAAGTTAGGGATTAATCTTAATTTTCTGTAATTTAACACACTTCTGATGTAGGCTATTTGCATTAAATATTGTAACATTGTGTATAAAAACACTAGTTGTGGATTTAACACCAAAACTTAACATTTAAAGAATAAATTTATGTTAAAAAAAATCTAACATCTAAACTTATTATTTATTAACCTGTTATTTATTTAAATGAATTAGAAGAGCAGATTCAGGTGTATTGTTTAACTGGTCATGGTTGAGAGTTAGAATGGAGTACTTTTTACTGAGAATAATCTGTATAGTAATCTAATTAGCTACACCAAAGATGTAATTAGCTATTAATACATTTTTTTTTTACCCAGCACTGCTACTGGATTATAATTCTTGTAACACTTGTTCTATATTTCTTTAGACATTTTTTTTTTTTTTTAGTCTTGGGAATTTCAGACTCTTTCATAGTACATTTGAGAAAGTGTAGCTTATGTGTTTTGGGGAACTTTAAATGTTACAAAAAGTGTGTAAACTTCCATTCAAATATAAATGAGCCTTAATCTGATTTCACAGTACATACAGATGAGGGCAGTATTGTGTAAAGAATATATATTGCCCAAGAGAAAGTTCAGATTTCAAAGCAATGATACACTCTTCGTCATGGAAGCATTTGGGCAATATTCAATTTGAAATGTAAAATGCAAATTGACAATGTATTACAGAATTTAGTAGATAGGGCCTATGTTTATGTTCAAGCTAAAACTGTAGCAAAATGATCATTTAAATGTTATGTTTCTTAATTGCATTTACACTCACGTTAAGACACTTGCGACTGCATTTTCATTAAATCTCCCGCAATGAATGTTGCAAAATTCCAATGTGCAATTTGAAAGCGCATTCTAAAGCGATCACGCCCCGGGCCCGTCCCGCCACCGCCCTGTCCTGTCAATCACTGCATCAAGGCGTGGCTCGGCAACAGGTAAACACGGATTTTAAGGTGTTGAAGGGGAACATGGCGACGGCAGAGCTGATAAGCCAAGGGCTATACGAACGGTAACTGCAGGTGATAAAACAACTTTGTGGGGACGTCTGGGAGAATTGTCCGCCTTATCAGGCTCGACACCCGTTTGGTGTCAACATTGTGCTTGTACCTCAATGCTGGACTGTGTTAATGATGGCTTCGTTTTGTATACAATATTCTCATTGTCTGAGACATACTATGCTTATCTTTATACGTATTAGCCTACTGTTAACCATTTTCCTTACAAATGGACACTATTACTCTGAGAACACAGAATATGACGGGTAAGTTATGTTCAAACCGAAAAGTGTGACCGCTCTTTATTTCACCATAACTGAACAGGTTATGTTCATGTTTTTATGTTTTTCACTTTATGTTTCAATAAAGTGACTCATGTGATGAGTGTCACCATCTCCCCTTTATATGTTATAAAGCATATGCATATTGATCAGATATTGATGAGTAGGCTAGGGTCACGAAATTTGACGGGTCAAGGGTGAGTGTGGAGGAGGTGGCTGGTGACGTGTATGTATAATTCACTGTCGAAGATAAAAAAAAAACAAACAGAAAAGATCTTTTTAGCGGCACAAACGAGACTATTTTGCGTGAATTTGGAGCACGTGGGGGGCCTGACCTCAGAATGACCAATAGGCCTACATTATTTTAATGTATATTATTTGAATATTGTCAGGCATCACATATTATTTTTATAACATGCAGCAGCACAAAATAAATGTTTACTGGCACAAATAAGCTAAATAAGATATATATACATATATATATATATATATATATATATATATATATATATATATAGGCTATATATATATATGACGATGAGTAATTTGGTTGAATGTAGGGAAGGTCAGGGGCTGGTGACGTAATCACCTGTAATTATGTCTAATAAATATCTTAAAAACCGAAGCAGCACATTCAAAACTTTAACAGACACAAAACAGCACTAATGAACAAGACTATTATTTAGAGCATGTGGGGGACTGGGTGACCTCAATGGCCTATAAATATTATTTTAACATCTAAAAAAAGAAATAAAGCTACACACACACACACACACACACACACATATATATATATATATTTGTTACTATTACTATACTACCATGAGTTACTATCTTGAGGCCAAAAGTTACTGTCTTGAGACCGAGATACTATCAAGGCCACGAGTTACTGTCTTGAGGCCACGAGATAGTTATAATTAATTTTTTGGACAAAGTGGGACTGGGGGGCTACGTACTTACTACCTTGTGCTCACGCCAAAGTGCATACAGATAAAATCGTGATTTAAAACTTAACAGTCATTTCCTTTTACTGGCTAAATGACTAATATTCGTTTCTCTCTCTCTCTCTCTCTCTCTCTCTCTCTCTCTCTCTCTCTCTCTCTCTCTCTCTCTCTCTCTCTCTCTCGCTCTCTCTCTCTCTCTCTCTCTCTCTCTCTCTCTCTATCCTGTGGTATTGGGTATCCTGTGAAATATACTGTAGTAAATCTTAAATATTAATGGACAAATTGAATCTTATTTGTTCCAAATGATGGTGGAAGTGCTCGGGTTATTCTTAATTAAACAATAAATAAAAACAAATTAAGTTTCTGCCTACTCATTAGTTGTCCAAACATCCATCTTCCATACCGCAAAAGACTATAAAAGATACTGCTTGTGTAGACCCAAAGAACGTATATTGTCAAGAAGTGTAAGCCAATAGAACGTTCCATTGCAACGCTTCCTCTATTTTGGGGTGAAAGCGACTCGGCACAGTCATATATAATACATAAGGAATAATTGACGACAGGCCGTTGAATTATTAGAAAAATAATGTGAGTATTTGCAGCACATGTATTGTCAAACTGATTAGGATGTTTTCTTAATTTTCCGTTGTTTTTTCTATTTCCATGTGTTTTCTTCAGTTGCAGTTTGTTGAGCTCCCCTGGACACCATACAATGGGACTACAAGCAACTGCCAGTAGAATGTGCTTTCTGTGCCTACGACTAAGGAAATAACTGTATATCAGCAGGTAAGCCTATTATATTCTATTCAAAAAGAGAAACCCAAAACTAGATATGCAAACCGTTATAAACCGTAATATCAATCATGCTTATCAATTTCATTTCAGGCAGCTCATGTTGTCATAAAAATATTTACGTGCTAGAATGACGTAATTTAGACGAATTTACGTGACGATGACGTAAAATGAGAACACTTACACAACTTGGCTTCTTTGCTTACTTTCATCACTTGCGCTTTTATTCCTCCTGCACTGATTCATTCTCTAAACTGTCTAGCCAATCAGAGCCATCTCTCTCTTACCGACGGTCAATGCCGATTCAATATGCTGAATCAGACAAACTCCCACCACAGAAGTGAGTCTGACTAGAGCTGATGTGTGGAACACACCGCAAAAAACTAACCCGACCGTCTGGTGCACAGCTTTTAAACAATACAATAAAATATAAAACAGTACTCACCTAAAATGCAGCAATACAGCAAAATCAAGTATCTGAGCAAGTTGCCTCTGGAATACTAAAAAAGTGAAGTTCAAGACAAGTTGGCATTTGCAAGCAGACACTGTCACATTAGTAGATAAAAACTTTTTGAATATGCAATGCTAATGAGGTATAATTTTAAAGGAATATAACCTTGCGTTGCAGTCTATAAAAAGTACTGTTTCTACAGCATATTCAGATGACACCCTCAGTAATGAATCTGGAAGTGGAATCCAGGGTCCATACATCACAGATCACACCAGGTGTACCAATATTACAATACATCCAGAGAGCCTTCTCTTTTAAATGCATTCCCATTTATCCCACTTTGGCGTGCAACATCTGCAATGTTGAAAATGTAACACCGTAAAAGTGTGGAAACCAGGAAAAGAATCATTCAAGAAAAGAATAAAAACATTATTTAAGTCATAACGTCTCATTTCAAGCTGTAATTGAGAGTCACGAGGCAGAACGAGGCAGAATAAAGAGTCGTAAAGCCTTAATTTTGTAATATTGTGGCAATTACTGAGGAAAGCTATGATGGAAACAGCAATCTGATTGTCTTAGATGATGGATGGGCTTATTTCAGAGTGATCTAGATTGTGGTAAACCTATGATTAAAACCTAAAGCGTGTAAAGAGACTTATTTTTTTTTAAACAAAAGTCCAATATGAGCAGCCCCCCTCTGGCATGACTTTCTTTGATGAATAATAATGTGCTCCTGGACTCGAGCTTCTTTTTTTTTTTCAGTCATTCATTCATTCATGCGATTCTTTATTTATTCGTTTTTATTTCGAAGAGCAATGAACAGCTCCAAACGCATTCACAGAAAACCGCTGCTCCTGAAATGCATACGAGGAAATACAATGACCCATTCATTCAGGGAACATCCTCCGTATCTTACGCAGCAGAAAACGGGCAGGATAGATTGTCTCTGCAATTGTAATTAATCCTAAGGGAAACATTTGGGAGGCGCTGTACTTCCAATTAGCACACTTAATTTAGCCTAGGGAATCTAATTTAGGAAATCTATTTACAGAGATGTACAGAATCCCACACTCTCTACAAAGGGAAATCCAGCACCTCCAATGAAAAGGTTTGACTTTGAAAGAGTCATGAAAGCACAGCCAACTGTTATTAGCTCCTGACAAAGTAGCAGTCATTCAAGCATTTTCAATATAAAGTTCATGCTGAATAGAGCTGCAGTGAATTAGCTTGAGGCATTTTTAAACACGGTCTTCCAATAAAAAGCAACCAGGGCTTTCAAAATGGTAATACCTCGAAATTTCGACATGAATTTGGTTTTAGAAATATTACAACCGAGGAGGTGGTATTGTGAATTTCGAATTACCTGTCATGTACTGTAAATACAACATACTGTATTATTGTTATTTATATTTAAAAAATGCCACAGAGCTGTCAGTCCTTGCATCTTTTGTTCTTTCTTTATATTGTGCTATTTGAGTCGGAATAGCACGTTTAGTTTGTGCTGAGCTTTTATTCACCCCTCTTCTGTTTGTATCCTCGACAACTATGACAGATGTGCCTTCAATGAAAAATACATAAAAATGTTCCTTCATAGAAACACAGCATATTCTGTTGTTATATTCTACTCTGTTCTATTGCATCATGGTGCAGGAAATACAATACACAGAAGCAAATGAGATTTATAACAGAATAAAAGTGAAATTGTTGAAATCATACAGTGATTAACATTTATCAAACTATAATGGTAATACAATTCCTAAACTCAAATTCTTAATATCTTTGTTTGGGAGAGCTCACAGATAGCATGTGGTAATCGTGCTGAAATCTGTGGCACTTGTGGCTCAGACTCTGTGCCGGCATGCATTATCAGAGCTGTAAGTGCTGCTCTCCACAAACAAAGAGATTAAGAATTTGAGTTTAGGAATTGCATTAGCATTACAGTTTGATGTATGTTAATCACTGTATGATTTCCTCGAAGAAACTTGGTGTTTGCTCTCAAAATGTTTGTGCTCCCCTGAGAAAGTTTCATGGGGGAATGCAATAGTTTTGCGAGCAAATTACTGACAGAATTTAAATTTTTGGGTGAACTATCCTTTTAAAGTCCACACTTTCATGACTTAAAGGGTTAGTTCACCCAAAAATGAAAATTAAGTCATTAATTACTCACCCCCATGCTGTACCAACCCCGTAAGACCTTCGTTCATCTTCGGGAACACAAATAAAGATATTTTTGATTGAATCTGAGAGCTCGATCAGTCCTACATAGGATGCCTAAGGGACTGGCTCTTGACAGCCCATAAAGTCATTAAAGAAAATGTTTCAATATTCCATGTGCCTACAGCGGCTCAATTATAAGTTTATCAAGCGACGAGACTACTTTTTGTGCGAAAAAAACATAAATAACGACTTAATTCGACTATTCTATTACTTCCTTATGGGCGCATGCGCGAGAACTGAGACGAGGACGTTCTTCTCCTTCGTCTACTTCTTGTTACCGGCTGCTCACCGCTTAGGAGTATTACCGCCACCTACCGTATAAAATGATGATCCATATATAAGGCGCTCCGGATTATAAGAAACACTGTCGTTTTTTGAGAAGATTAAAGGCTTTTAAGTGCACCTTATAGTGCGGAAAATACGCTAATTGAAAAGCGTATGTACAGCGCGCATCTTCCTCTGCTTGTAAACAGAAAGTTTTTTGCGCTTCCAGCTATATCAGCACATCATCTTATACGGTAGGTGGCGGTAATACTCCTAAGCGGTGAGCAGCCGGTAACAAGTCGAAGGAGAACGTCCTCGTCTCAGTTCTCGCGCATGCGCCAATAAGGAAATAATAGAATAGTCGAATTAAGTCGTTATTTATGTTTTTTTCGCACAAAAAGTAGTCTCGTCGCTTGATAAACTTATAATTGAGCCGCTGTAGGCACATGGAATATTTAAACCTTTTCTTTAATGACTTTATGGGCCGTCAAGAGCCAGTCCCTTAGGCAGTCTATGTAGGACTGATCCAGCTCTCAGATTCAATCAAAAATATCTTTATTTGTGTTCCGAAGATGAACGAAGGTCTTACGGGGTTGGAACAGCATGGGGGTGAGTAATTAATGACTTAATTTTCATTTTTGGGTGAACTAACCCTTTAATGTCACTTTGACTGTTGGGTAGAAGTCTGCACCAGAGCTCCCACGTTTGTGTGCTTGGCAAAAGCGTACATTCAGGGCACATATATCGGCCATGAAATGCATCTGTAACCTAAAATGACAAATAGAACACCCATAGTCTTGTGGACTGTCCAGGGGTCCTATTATACACGCAGCGAATAATAAGAATAATATTCAATATAAAATTATAGAATTAAAATGCAGTAAAAATATTAATGCAGATGACAATTTTTCACGTAACATGTAGATCGAAGTTCAACAGAAAATAAATAGTGCCAGTTCTGCTGCTTTGCACAATAGTGTTTTTTTCTAAGTAAACTTACATGACTGTGTCACTAATAACTGTAGCAATAAACACATACATTTCAGTTATAAATTATATTGGAGTTATCAATGAAATACAGAGTCAGGTTTAAGATTTGGTCCAAAGTTCAACTACAACTATCCCAAAGTTTAATCCTTCTCAGTTAATGTTTACACACCAGCAAACACGCTCTTCCACTTTCTCTCTACTCTACTGCATATGGTAAAACAAAAGCCTTCTTCCTCTGTCTACATGAAATATCTCTGAAAATGTAGAATGACATTAGTCTACTAGCAATTTTGCTGTAAACAGTGCCTGGAGGATTGCTTGTTAATTCTGCTGGGTGAAGGTGAGACATTCTGTTCCTCATTATCATATTTTTCATAGTAAGAGATTCAAATAGCTTTGCATGATGGCTTCATTTCAAAAGTGCAACACAAACTGTTAAAGGGATATGTTTTATATACATTCCAATTTAATACGTTGCTGTCAGCATGTAGATTGGTAAGCTTTGCCATATTATCTGGTATGCTTTTTTCCTTTCTGGGAAGACATTGCCTTGCTCAATTAAATGAAAGAAATGCATTGCTTCATAGTATATGTTTCAGAAATTCAGAAAAGAGATTAAGAAATTAGTGTTCATGCACATCAACATTTATGCGTTTGTATTTTTTTTACAATGTAATTGTTCTCTATTTTGGTTTCATTTCCAGAAACACTGGTGAACAAAACTAGATTTTGGGTTTTCTAAAGACGTAAAAACACAGGACAGATGGCAATCGAAAAGGGTACGTAATACATAATCCAAAAGGAATTGTAACCTCAATATTCAAGTACACTTGAGAATTCTTGAGTTCAAGAACTCAAGAAACTAGACAAACAAAAAAAGTTGTTGAATAAAGATAGAAAAATCAATAGTTACAGCAATATGCTAGTAATACTTCACATTCAGCTGTATAACTCCACGTTTTATTAACATTTAATCCATTATTCTCTCTTTGTTTGAATGAAACAGGGACTTTGCCCTTTCAGATAAAAACATAAAAAATTGTCTTCTGCACATTTATCGCATTGTATGTATAAATTGCTCTTATCTACATTTATGTGACCTGCTTCACCCATGTGTGTCAACATTATGCTGCTCATGATTGAAAACAAATTGATGAATTGGTAGACCTCACCCTGAAATCAAATAGCCAAAAAATAGGTTATGTGTAAATTATTCCTTGTAGTGTAGTAAAGGCATAAATCATTGTGGTTTAGTAGAGATAACACATTAAGGGCCCTATCTTGCACCCGGCGCAAATGTACACTGACGCATGTATCATTCCTATTTTGCACCCACGCAAAGTGGGCTTTTCCCTCCACAGACGCACGTCGGTAAACTAGGAAATGAACTTGCGCTCATTAATAGCTTCATTAGCGCAAATGAACTTGCACTAATGAAGCTATTTCAGACCAAAACCTTTTAAACTTGCGTCGGGTGGAAGAGTCTTTTATCCCGCCAGTAAAATAGCAACAGCGCCAAAGACCCGCCCACAAAGTTACTAGCGCTTTGCGCTTGAGATTTCAGATCGTTAAAATAGGGCCCGATATGTGTTATGAAACCTCAAATTTAGAGTTGAAAATGCTTTGTTTCTTTTCTAGTGATGGATATTCCCTCTGATAATGTGTATGCGTATGCATTATCAAAAACCCTCACAAAGGTTTCTTCTCCCGTGACGGTGGGTCTGTATTCAGAATGTCACAACAGGATCAACATGGTTCTTAAGAACATCGAGGGTAAGTGTGTACACTTTTTTCAAACAACTTAAAATATTTGATCCTACAAATCCTCCCAGATGTCTTGGAGATTTTAATGTGTTTGCTTCCTTATTGCCCATTTGCAGTGCATATGGATCAAGAGGCTAAAAGAAGAGAAACGAACACTAAGGAACCAAAGCCTCGCTCAATTACACCGTCCGTTTCTGATCTGCTTTCTCTGATCTTGCGGCTCCTCTTTTATCGGCCCGTGTGGACGGAGCAGAACCAGAACATGAAGAACATTCGTTATCTGTTCGTGAGGTTCAGCGCGTGGCATTTTGCTGGCAGTGACCTGCTCTGGGCTGGACTAGTAATGCAGTTGTGCAAGGCTCTTCAAAACAGCTTTGGTAAGCTCCAGCTGGGACTTTTCCGGATCGCCCAACACGACCCAGAGGAAGATGCAAGAAAGAAGAAGATTGAGGATATTTCAAAGAACTGGAGGTCCAAAAAGTTGGCCTGCATCCCCTTTTGGGTACTAATACTCATGGGATTCATTGGTTCACTCCTTATTCTGGTTCCTCTCATTATATATGGATTTCCAGATCTGAAGGACTACAATGAAGGAGAAGAAGTTGAGTCGACAAGTGGGTCTGGTGTACTGGAAGGTTTTGCCATCGCTGTACTTGGTGTTCCTGCAGTTGGAGCTCTACGATTCATATTTTTGTTGTTGAAGAATCTCATCTTCAACCAAGACCTTAAAATTAGACAAGGGCTGGACAACAAGAAGGTAAGTCAGCAGCTGGGACTAATGCATGAAGTTCGTAAGGAGATGAGACTGCTGTGCTGCTTCATTTACTTCATGGAGGTCTTCGAAAGGAGGAGGATCAGGGTGGTGTTGGAGATCACCAACTTGGATCGTTGCACACCGAAGAAAATTGTCGGTGTTTTGGATGCCATCAACATTCTCCTATCTGATGAAGAGAGTCCCTTCATTTCTGTGCTTGCTGTTGATCCAGAAGTCTTGGTGAGGCAGGTCGAACAGGCAGAAAATTGTGTAGACAAAAGAGACTCTGCATATGACTTTCTAGATCGTATAATCACACTGCCCTTCACCGTACCTCCACTATCTGACGCATCAAAGTCCAGCGTCTTTGAAAACATTGTCCGTGGTCAGTCTGAGATCTCTGAAGACATTCCTCTTGAGGGGACCGCTGCATCTACTTCAAGTCCTTTGACATCGTTCTCTGTAGAAGATGAGTATCGTGTAAAGTGCAGTGAGACTGAAGAACAAGTCACCCCTTTGATTGCAAACACTCTGGAAAACTCTAAAACCTTTGCTGCAACAGAACTTAATCTAAATGAAGTGGATAGCTTAATCGAGTCTGCATTTTCTTACATCTTCTCAAGACAAAAAAGCAAACTTCAATCATATATATCTGGAAACACCATGTCCATGAGACGAGTGATTAACTCAATTCAAGTAACCATTTTGATTATGGAGACCCAAAAATTGGAGCCTCCACCTCCAGAGAAGATAGCAGCTTGGGTGGTTTTGGTGGACCGCTGGCCTTGCAGATTAAGTTGGATTATTCAATGTGTTGAAGATGACCAACAGAGTAAAGAGATAAATGGATCATTCTGTGCTGCTGATAAGACCAAGACGATATGGGACGTGTTCAATTACAATAGTCTGGAACTCTGCATCATTGGAAATGAGGTGGAGAACTTTCTAGAAAGAGATGGAGACCCTGAGCTCTTTGAGGTTTTCCTTAGGAAAGACTTCGAGTTCACTGTAGGGGAGTTGGAAATGTTTCAGCTTTACACAGTGAACTTAAATTACTCGATCAAGAACGAGCTGGCCAGGGTTCGTGGAAGCCGCAGACTGAAGATAGCGGGGAGAAATGCTTTCCAGTCCCTCTCATCACAAACTGTAGTGAACATGAAAACTGATGATATTTGTCAAGAGGTTTGTATGAAAAAAGTCAAAGCAGCAGTTAGTTTCAACATAACACTCTTTACATATATATATATATATATATATATATATATATATATATATACTGTATATCACTACCTTGAAATTGTAAGGTTGTATGAGTATTCAGAGCGGTTTTGAGATATTGAGCTTCAAATAGAGCTTCAGATAGAACCTTGCACAACTTTAAAAAAATAAGTTGACACAGAATAAAATAAGAATATGAAGAAAAAAAAATGTCAGATAGAACCTGATAATTCCAAGGTGACTATATACAGCATATATATACAAAAGCAAAAGTTTGGGGTTGGTGATTTTATTTTTAAATATTTGTTTAATGAAAGTCTCTTCTACTCACCAAGACATTTATTTTATAGAAAAAAAAAAAAGATTAATTGCTTTAAAAGAAAATTTTACTGAACCCTAACATATGTACTGTATGTATGCTAGATATATTTTACTGTTTTTCAAATGATATGTTTTTTTTTATATATAAATATGTGGATTTGTTTCTTTTTTAGCTGTCAAAACTAAGCCTCCCAGAGAAATACCTTGAAACAGTAAGGAAAAATTTCATAGATGGCAGAACGATCCTCTTCAGTGACACCAAAGACCTCAGGCAAGTCCTGCAAATGACTCTGGGAGAATGGACGACTTTTAAAATTCATTTCCTAGGGGTCATGCCTCCCAGTCGGCCAGCTCAGGCAAAAAGTCTTCGAGATGCCATATACCCTGGAGTGGTCATATGCTCATCTGACCATAACAGTTAAGCAGTTTAACTGACCTTGAGGTTTGCATCTTTGCATTTTTCCTCCTGTGCATGCATTCAGTGGACTAAGACTGTTTCAGTAAACAATACTGCATCAATACAAAAATATAATTCCTTACGGTGAGACAAAAATAAGACTGTAAACGTACACCGCCAACTAGACTTAAAAATAGAGCTTTGTTATGCAGAGCTCCAAACAGATCAAATGTGTAAGATGCATGATTGATAATGGGAATAAGTGGTTTTATTTTGCTAAGCTATTAAAATTATGCAATGATTCTCAATGAAACTTTTCCTGAATGTAATTTCAGTATGAATTAAAAAACTATTTTTTTTAAAGTGTGCAGCATAAAGGTTAATACAACATGTACCCAAGTCCACACACACACACATATATAAACCTTAGCTTTACTTTAATTAATGTATTATTTCTATCCATTGACTGACATTACAATCCTTACAAGACCATACAACAATTTTCTCCAAAAACATGAAAAACCGTCTGCACTTATTAACCACACATCCATATCTTAGACACACCAGGTCCAATGTAGGGGTCGACCGATTATCGGCGCCAATATTAAGCATTTTTATGGTTATCGGTATCGACCATTTTCAAAACCGATTTGCCGATAAAATAATTTTATTTTGAAGTGCGCTATATTTGGCTATAACGCGGTTAGAATCGGTTCAAAATATCGGTTATCGGTCTATTTGATCTGTAATAATCGGCATCGGCCCTGAAAATCCCATATCGGTCACCCCCTAGTCCAATGATAACACCATTAATCAGGTTAATACTGTCTGACCATCGATATGATCTGTGAAGGAAAGGTGTTGAACTTCATTAAGTAAAAAGTTTGTGTTTCTGCGCAACAAAACAGAATTGCAAAACTAAAAACTGTTGAAAACAGGAGAGAAGACATTTGGCTCATAAAGAGCTTAAAATAGAACAGAATGGCATATTTTAACAAATATCTCAGGGTTCATTGTACAAGGTTCATGTCTGTACACGCATAAAATGTTTATGGTCGTAAAGGTTCAGCAAACACAGAGCTACAACATACAGTATAACACAAGTGCAATAAAGACACAAGATATAAAACATCTGCAAATATAAAAATTGTGCAACAGTCAAACAACCTCATATTCCGTGAATCTAATCTAAAGAATTACTAATGAATGTCATGTTGAACGTCAACCATTTGTCATGAAATTCCCATGGGTAGATCCCGAGTTTCCGGTTTCATTATATCACTCTTGAGTTTTTCCATTCAAAAACTTTGGCATTGTTCGGAATCCGTACTTTGACACTTTAGTTTTACTTTCTATAAAACTTTAATACAGGACTGAATGACAGTGTGCAGATGTTTTTTTAATCGCACAGCCTGTCACCGAGTTTTACTTTATGCTCTGTGGGAATGGGGCTTCTGAGAAAGCAGAGAAAATATATATATCTCCCATGCAGCTCAGCGGAGACCTCCCACGGATCTATGGCGGTACATAACGCCAATGCAAAAGTTGTTCATCTGCGCAAGCAACATGAAAGAACATCCTAAATAGAACGTGGCTTTTATGCTAGTGTTTTTATACAGGCTACATATTTTTGAAATCAAATTAATTATCTGTAGATTCATTGGATTCATCAATTAATTATAGTATTCAAGCTGTTAAAGAGCATAACTAATACTTTGTTGTGTAAATGAATCACACTAATGTGCAGTCCTAGAAACATTGCTTGGAAATTACACTTAATTGCATCAAACAAGACATTGACATTGATTCTGAAAATGCCGTATTGAATCGTATCTTTAAGTACAGTCAAGACAAAGCAATCGACAAAGAGAGGTCGGTCGGCGTGTGCCGGACTGAAATATGACTCTGAAATTGCAAACATCAAAGTGGGGGTTCATATGAAATCAATATCATGCAGACATATTAAGGGAATTTAATGGGCCAGGAAGGAGGGGGATATTCTTACCCCTCTCACTCTGAATCAATGCAGGAAAGCGTCCTTAGTGTAAGCAGCGATGTGATTTTAAAATAAAATTCTATCGATGGATCCTTTACATGGAAAATGAAAACAAGGACTGCTGAGAGTGCATATGATAACGTTCAGATGAACACAAAGAAGAGCCATAAAATACAATACTGCATCATGCAGCGTTTTCCTATTCAGGCTGTTGTCCTGCTCTGCAGGGCCCGTTAAACAGCATTTGCATCAGAAACACGGAGCTGAGTGGTAATGTCTGTAACCAACTATGACATCAACAATATTTGATATCAGGACGGATGAGTTGTGCATTGTGTATGGTGCCTGTGCTGGCAGGACAAACGGCAAACCACGGCATTGATTACAAGTTTGATACATAAAGATGGATAGTGAAACACCATCTCACGCCACGAGTGTAATGAGTTACAGTCGTGCACATGGAATAACAGATTAATAATAAAAACGCTTGTTTTGATTTCATTCTTCAATCTTAAAGGAGTAATTCACTTAAAAAAAACAAAAATTGCTGATAATTTACTCACCCCCATGTCATCCATGATATCCATGTCTTTCTTTCTTCAGTCGAAAAGAAATTAAGGTTTTTGATGAAAACATTCCAGGATTTTCTCCATATAATGCATTTTACTGGGAACCAAACGGTTCAAGGTCCAAAAGTCACTTTCAGTGCAAACTGCAAACTGTTCAAAGGGCTTTAAATGATTCCAGATGATGAATAAGAGTCTTATCAAGCGAAACGATCGCTCATTTAAAAAAAAAAAAAAAAAAAGTTTACGTTTTATAAGCTCAAATGCTCGCCTTGCTCTGTTCTGTGACGCACGTTTGTGACTCCTGTTCGAACACTCGTTCATCAAAATGGACGAGTCATTTGGTTCATTCAACGAACGAAACGACAAACGAATTGACTCGGAAAAAGATTTTTTCATTTTGATGAACGTGCGTCACAGAACGGAGCAAGGCGAGCATTTGAGCTTATAAAACTTAAACTTTGTCATTTATTTATTAAATGAGCCCTCGTTTCGCTTGATAAGACCCTTATTCATCGTCTGGAATCGTTTAAAGCCCTTTGAACAGTTTGCAGTTTGCACTGAAAGTGTCTTTTGGACCTTGAACCGTTTGGTTCCCAGTAAAGTCCATTATATGGAGAAAATCCTTGAATTTTTTCATCAAAAACCTGAATTTCTTTTCGACTAAAGAAAGAAAGACATGGACATCTTGTCCAAAAGTGAACTACTCCTTTAATGGCCTCTCACACGGCATGGGCCTCCATTTACGTTTGCTTTTAGAGCTATAAAGACTGTTTTACATGGGCTTCCCCCACGTCAGGCAATTTAATAGGGATTCTCTCCCCTTTCCGAGCTTGATTCTTTGTGGACCACTCGGTGAAAACCCCATAAATAAGGGGAATTGCTTTTGAAGGTGGACTATGGCTGTATACAGAAAGGCTAGACAAGCCGAGCCTCGCAAAGACTCTGATTATATCATGTCTCCCGCCGTGAAAGCTGTAGGCTAAGGGTAAAACTAATGAGGAAGTATTTCCTTGGCATTTGCAATTTCTCTCCGAAGGCCAAGGTCGACAAACGCGGCGGCTCAGCTAACAGAGACATCGCTCTTAGAGCAAACCAAGCTAAACCGGGAGTTGAACATTAAACTCTATGAACAGACCAACTGGGGGAGAAACAGAAGGAGAGGAAGCCATTCAACATAATCATAGCTGTAGCTCAAATGAGGTTTTTAAAGTGAAATGGATTTCCCAATGCAAAAAAAAAAAATCCCAACACGGAACATACCGTGGCGGATTGGCCGTGGATGAACGTCTTAATTTGTGCTAGTGTGAAATTATAGATCACACTTCTCTCTGGCTGAAATGTAATTAAACATTCACAGCTGTATTGACTCTAGTGATGGATATTCGCAGTTAATAAGCCACTTGTGGCTGGCACAAATTCAATATGGGTAATGTCTCTATTCTGAAAGAGATGGTGAAAGGATCGTCTGTCATATAAACAGAAATATCTGTAAACAACCGTTTCCATGTTCACAAGCCTGATCGATCTGTACAGCACATCTAAAGAACATATTCAAGGAATACAAGAAAAATAAATCATTATTTACCCTCATGGTGTTCCTAAGGCATTTGGTGTTCATTTTCCCAGAAATTTGATGTAGAAGTCTTCAAAACAAGATAGTTACCATAAAAGAGCCAAAAATAAATAAAAACACCTTAAAGCACCATGCAATGTATTTAATGGTGATTTTATATTTGGTCCTTATTGAAGTTTCACGGACATTGTCACTATAATCTGAGTATACAAATTAATGTTAAAAAATAAAATAAAAGCACATACATACCCTTCAAAAGTCATTCGGGCAGTGAAAAATAATCTATAATAATCCAGCAATGATGGACTCAAATTATTCAATTAAATAAGAGGCAGTTTTATTCATCAAAGAATCCTAAATTTATTTATTTTTTTTATAAATAAGCATCACAGTTGTTTTCATCTTTGATAATAACATGTTTCTTGGGCACCAAATCAGCATATTTGAATGATTTCAAAAGCATCATGTGTGTCACGGTCTCTGGGAATACAAGAATCATAGCTTTAATGAAGCCAAACAGTTGTTTCAGTAGCTAAATCATTAAAACCTTCTAAATATTACAAAAAAAAGTGTGGAGTACTCATCACAAACCAATAAATATGCACCCGCTGTCTTTTAATGAAGTTAAAATATTTCACACTTTTTAATTAAACGCCAAACTTGTTGACAGGGCACACTCAAAAAATAAACCTGTGACACAGTGCGTAAATTTAGATATGACATTCAGTCAGGGTTTGCTCTTTGAGCTTTTGAAGAATCAGCACCCAAGCAAATAAGCCAATCAGATATGTCTGACAGATGAGAGGTATTGGGAGCAGTTTGTAATTGGAGTGTTGATTGACATGTGGAGGATAAGTCTCAAAATAACGATGCTAATGGTGCTCTCTTCCTCTTGTGTGTTAGTTGACACCATCTGCAGCCACACACACTGTGAGTGATAGGAGCACAATCATCTGTTTAGAGATGATAGACTAAAACAATGCTTGTTTGCTTGCAGCTCGCATCAATGAGAGGAGACAATGGGTTCTTGATTGGCACATTGTGTATGATGATGAAATTAATGTCAGTGCGTGCATGAGCAGGTGGATATTAAGCATAAACGATGGGTGTGGGAGTGTGTTTGTCTGTTTACCTGCACACTGAGACCGTCTCTTACACGAGAGATCCACAATGCCGTTACACAGAACTGTTTAGCGTCTCATTGTAGAAATTTGAATCAGAA